AATGAGAAATAAAATGAACTTTTTTGATTTTAGCAAATGGCTGCAATGAAACAGAGTGAAAAATTTAAAGGGGTCTGAATACTTTCCGTACCCACTGTATGTAGAAAGGGAGAGTCACAGCGTTGTGTGTTTCCCACAGTGGGTGAGGTATGTGAGATAGCAGAGCCCACTGAATGCTTTTATTTCTGTCTTTTATGGCTGACTGTAGATCTCATCTCTGCTGCACAAACACAGCGGTTGGAGTTGTGATTTGCTCTTCAGAACATGCCTGACTAAATGTTGATTTTGCAAATGCTCCCAATTTTTTTCAGAAATGACAATATATACTAACTTAAGAGAAGACTACAAGTCAGCTATGTGGCTCTGTAGGGTAAAATGTCAGTGGAGATGGAACAAAACTAAAGTGAAAGGACATGTGAGGTAAGAAGAAAGTCCCAGGCCGACGTTGCATAAAGAGCCCTCTAGTGCTCTTCATTACTCAAGCTCATGAAAGTTTTATTAGCAAAAGATGTTAGGCTTCTCATAAGTCTTCTACCAGCAACAGGAAACAGAGCGCATGCATTCCCACTATCCTACTTTTAAATGGAAATCATATTTCTTGGTGCATTAGTACTTCCTCAAACCCCCTTTCTGTTCAGTGAACGGACTTTATAGAATGGGGCCATTCATTCATGGCGTTTCTTGTTTACAAGAGATGGGAGGGTTTATCTGATGATTATTCAACTGCTTACCAGATGACCAAACAAAGTGTCATTGTATAAAAAGTGAAAATGAAAAAAAGGCTTTTTACACCAGTTTGGATTTAGCAGGATTTGGGATATTTTAAAACAGAAGTTGCCTCAAAGTAACAAAATGCTACTGATCGTCTCCTATGATGGATTTCCACTCATCACCGCTACATTAGTTTTTCTCATCAAAATAAACATGTATTTATCTTATTAATGACTTTAACTGCACATTCTAGGCATAACAATAGTAAATACTGTCTGTTGACTATGCAGCTTTAATTGTAGTGTTCTCTCTCAAGCCTATATCAAAATAAAGCATGCTACGGATACAGATTGTTCAGAGCGAACTCTTTTATTTCTCTAATATTTTGGCAAAAGTTGATGGCAGGCTGCCTCCACCAAAGTAAATTTTTAATTATTGTCAAGGTGAATGCATTAACTGCCATGGTGAGAACGTGGACAATGGCATTACGCTGAGGCTGAACAGCACCATACAGTGTTTACAATAAAGTTTGGAGAGTTGCCTGGCAGCAGAATGTACACAATGAAACAGCCCAGTGGCCCTGCTCTTTATGTCAGTGTCAGGCCTGAAAGAACTGCCTTTGTACACATATGACTCTCATTCTCAGGATGTTTGACATGAGCGAAATGAGGCCAGGCTCCACAATAAAACCTTTCCTGCTGCTGTCAAGTATGTCAAGTATTTGAAAACCTTGTGTCATATAAATATAAAGGTGTTCTAATGCTGTATATAACCCTTATACAGTTATGGGATTTACTCACCTCAACAAAATAATAAATACAAGTGAGCGCAATAACTTGCAATGATGGCAAATGTGTGATGACATCCAACTTCTCTGTTGCTTTAAATCCAACATTATGAATCACATGGAGAGTGGTTCCAAAGAATCGTGTAATAAAGACTATGAAAGACCATCTAGTCATTTCAAACATCTACAAATATTATATAACTTTTTCTTTTTTTTTTAACATCCTCAATTGTTAATTATTACATGGAGCCAGTGAAGTGACTCATTTCTTTTTGGATAACTGAGCAGGGCTGTCATGAACACCACCCCCACGTCAGCACCTCAATTAAAGACCAGAGTTGTGAATATGGCCTTTTTTCTGTGTGACAAACACACACATAGGAACTCACAGCTCTCTTTTGTGGCTAGCTTACAGCCAAGAGTCAGGGGAAATGAATCTGCTGCTGCTAAAGAGGGGTTAACGCCCCAATCCATGCAGGCAGAAAGGTACAGAGACTGTTACTAAAAGCTTCTAGGAGCTGCTAAAATACTTCTCAGGAATCTAACACAGAGAGGAAGTGAGGATAAATCTCTCTCTCTCTCTCTCTCTCTCTCTCTCTCTCTCTCTCTCTCTCTGCTTTTCGATTGCAATTGCTGTTGTGATTTGCAAGGACAAAACAGAGAGCAACGTTTTCTTCATATAACTCAGCTGGTAGACACTGCTTTCATTAGCTCCGGGAGGAGTGAGAACAAGTAGCACAATGTCCTAAAATAACCTCTCTCTCTTATTTCCCTTGGAAATACCCAGTGTGTGCATGTGTGTGTGTGTTTGTAGGTGTGTGCATGTGTGTGTGTGTGTGTGT